GGTGGCCCTGCTGCCGGTGCTCCAGCACTGGCAAAAGACGAGCTGATCTGTGTGCACAGAGCATTGATGCCATCGCTGTCACTGGTACCAGGAGGCTCCATCTCAGGCACTGGGAAGTCAGGGAAGGATGGAGGTCAGAAATAGGCCCGGGCCCTGTCCCTTGCCCCCGCACCCTCAGGTGGCCCTCTCTTACCACCTGGGTCCTTTCCATCCCATAGTGCAGGTCAGCAGGTCCACCCCATAGTAAGTAAGTGGTCGTGGCCACAAAAATAACTGTGCCTGTGTTCATGTGACATCTGAGTGGTACAACAGCCACGTCGGTGTGTGACAGTTGATGGCTGGAATCCAGGTATGTGGCAACCCGACGACGTGTGACTCCCAAGCGCGAGTGAATCCGCCTGTGTGGTGTACGAGTGTGTTCGCAAGTACGCGTGACTGTGTGTGTGTGTGTGTGGCTTCTGAGTGTGTAGGACACACGCGTGAGAGTGTGACATCTGTGTGAGTCTGTGAAATTTCTGTGTAAATAGCAAATCGTATCCACGCGAGTGTGCAGCCACTCGCAGGAGTGTGAGGTTTCCGAATAAAGCCTGGGGAGGCTGCCGCCTCTCCGGGAGTGCCTGTGACTGTCCCGAGTGTGTGCGGTGCTCAGTGTCACGCTGCATGAGGACAGTGAGTGTGAGGGTGTGTGGCGGCCAGGAGATGCTGCAGGCAGGCAGCGAGTGTGCGTCACTCTCAACAAGCATTGGCATCTGCTCAGCGGTTGCCTTTTAGAGCAGCTCTGCCTCCTGGATATAGATCAACACCCTCCCACACCAATCCCTGAGGCCAGAAGGGGTAGGTGTCACAGATTTGGCACACAGAAGCAGGAAGGTGGCCAGACCACATGGCTTCACTGACTGCTGGGAGGAAGACAGCCCTTCTGCCTGTCTACCCCAGGCGAAAACTTGGTACTGTGCCACCTCTCTCTTCTCCCTTTCCCTTGGCAGATGTTACTTTTAGATTGTAACCATTCTCCTGTTCCTGGCCTGTGGCAGACATTAGTAATCAAACATGATGCTTTTTTCCTCCACTGAGCTCTTTGCTCACCTTAGCCCTCACCTGGCCAGACCTCATAGCCAAATGCTAGAAGGGACAGGTCCTTGTAATTGTATCTTCCCTCCAGGCAAAACAGGACAGTTACACCGTCTCTCTCCTAGCATCACCCATGGCAGACATTGCTAATCAATCATGATGTGCCACCTCCTTCCTCTGTATGATGGGTACTGCCTCTGCCCGACCCTGTGTCCACAGCTGACGTCACTGACCCATTGCTATGCTCTCTGACCCCTGGATCCCTGTGCGCACTTGTGCCCTTCACTTCATGTTTCCACTGACCAAATTCTGGGAGTCTCCCCTTTGGGCAAAACAACACTCCTGCTGCTCTCTCTTCTCCCTTGCCCATGGCAGACTTTGCTAATAAAGCACGAGGTGCGCCCCTCTCCTTTTCTTGCTCATGGCAGACACTGTCAGGAGATCATGATGAATGCCATCCCTAGGCAGATATCATTAATCCATCACAGTCCTTTCCTCTGAGCCTGAGGAATACACCTGGGTCTTCACCTGGCCAGATCTCAGGGCTCTATTGGCCTAATGCTTGGAGGGAGTGTTGACCTACGGTGCTTCAGTTTACTCCTGAGCAAAAACAGGCCATCTGTGCTGCTTCTCTTCTTTCCCATGCCCAAGGCAGACTTCTTTGCCCATAGCAGACTTTGCTAACCCATCATGATGTGTGCCATATTTCTCCTTTTCCCTAACCACAGCAGACATTGCTAATGGATCATGACTTGTGACACCTGTCGATTAGTAGACATGGCTAATCGAATATGGTTTGTGCCTCCTCTCTCCTCTCCCTTGCTATCACAGACAGTGCTAATCAATCAGTGTGTTCCTCCGCTCCTCTATCCCTCGCCCACATCAGTCAGTGCTACTTGATTCTGACGCCCCTTTCCACTGGGCCCAGGGCTCACCTGTGCCCTTCACCTGAAAGTCAGTGCGCCGCTGCAGCGTGGATGGCAGCTCATTCAGCCGGAGGCTCAGCTGCCGTTTGAAAGGTGAGTTCTTCTGGCTGAGTGCTGGGAACCCACGGAAGGAGCCCTGGCGAACCAGCTGCTCCAGAGGGGCATGGCGCCGGGGGATGGCAGCTGCAGTGGTGCCTGCAGCCACTGGGGTGCCTGCCTCACCCTTCTCACCAGGGGATGTGGTGGCTGGTGTTGGGGACACGTGCCCAGGCTGGGCAGGGCCGGGAGCTGCAGTGGGAGCAGCTGCTGCCTCTGCTGGAGACAAAGGGGAGACAGGTGGTTGGACATCTCACCGTGGCCCTCGAGGCCTTTTGGTCATTCCCAAAGGCTGCCTTCTTCAACCAATCACATCCTGCCCTCCTGACAAGCTGGTCAGAGCCCTGAAACAGCCCTCGCCCCCACCCAAGCCAAGATCACCTTCCCTAGGAGGCCCTTGGGAAATCGTACCCTCACCCGACCCTCTGTGTCACTCTAGCTTTCTGCCCTGATCCGACTTGCTCTGCTGCTCTCCCATTCTTCCCCCTGAGACCCTCTGTCTCTCTCTCTTTCTGATCATTTGACAAATACTTGGTGCATGAACAACGTTACCAGGCATTGCTCCGGGTGCTTTGCAAGTATCAACTCATTCAATCCACACAACCACCCACGAGGTTGATTCTATCCCTATTTTACAGATGTGCAAGCTGAGGCCCAGCAAAGGTCAGTGATTTGCTCGAGTCACACTGGGTCAGCTGAGTCTGGAGTCGGTGTGCCAAACAACTGCCCTGCCCTCTCTCTCCCTCTGGCATGGTCTCCCTCGATCATGCTCTTTCTCTGCTCTCTGCCTCCTCCCTCTGTCTCCCTACCTCCCACCATCCTTCCCACCTCGGGTACCTCCTCCCTTCCTCCAGCTGTTCCCAGTCATTCTAGACCCAAGTTGGCACGCTTCATCCTCTAAGAAGCTTTCCAGATTGTTCTAGCCCCTCAGCCTGGGATCCCCCCCACTGGACTATCCTCTAGGAGGAAACCTGGCCTCCCCACTCAGCACAAGAGGCAGGCTCTTTAAGGGCAGGGCCCCCTGCCACCCCTCAATCTACACACACACCCCCAACCCATCATCCAGGGTGAGGCCAGGAGGCGCCCACCCAGGGCTGGCCCGGAGCAGTGGAAAAACAGCCCAGGACAGGTTGGAACCAGGAAACCACCTCTGTCCCCACCTCACTGTGTGACCTCAAGAAGTCCCCTCCCTTCTCTGGGCTCCAGCTTCCCAGCTAGAAACCTGAAATAAACATCCCTAAGCTACCTCCCAAGACCTCTGAGTCAGTTCAGGTAGTGAATGTTAAATGCTTTGGAATCCAACGAAGGGGCGGTAAACAAATTTTGGAAAGCGCACTGCTCCCTGACTCCTACACTGGAAAGAGCTTGGAGTTAAAATGCAGTGCCTGGGCCGGGCGCGGTGGCTCACGCCT